GGGTATCTCTTCTTCGTCTTACGATTGTATGGGAACAATACGATCGTAACAAATACTTCCAAGAATCTGTGGTAAAAGTTTCAGCCCGATAGAACAAAGTTAGAGGAAGACCGTATAAGCAGCCAGGATAAAAAAAACTGGTGTTTTACGTTATGCTAAGTAAAAGAGCAGAATTTCAATATAATTACTGTGAAAAAAAAAGTTTCCTTATTTCACTAAATCTGTAACAGTAAACTGTTGAGAGTCAAATGATGTCTCTAATTGCGCAGGCCACTTCATACTATCATATCTTATGCTAAGCTCGAAATCGAGTTTTTGGTCGAGAACGAGGGGGAGGGGATTACCCTTCGTTTTGAGCGACTACGATTTATTATCTAAGTTATTTGACATATACACGATGAAGACTGTGTTCGAACATCTCTATCACTAATTAAGAAATGACAATTTTTAGAAAATGAATGATGACTATATATATATGTTATGGATGATTCGTTCGATAACATGTTGAATATGTTTGTTTATATACTACATAGCTGTTATGATTACTACTAAGGTTAACTTAAACCAGTTGACTTTTCTCAACAGAAAAGAGCTAAATGTCGTCCATGAAACTAACGAAAAGATGGACTTTTCTTCACCTAACCCGATCTCTTACCTCTATTAGGATCACGCTCAGTTTCCGGTATTTCTGCCAATGGTAATCTTACAATGGTAAAATTTTCTAATTTTTCTTTGAAGTAAGTGAAATCAACATAGACTAATTTTATTCGTTGTTCCACATGTTGTCGTTCTGAAGTTAATTCTTGATCTATTTGTTGCCATCTATCTTCTTGTTCACGTTTTAAACGGTCACTTGAATACCAAAGAATTACAGAATCATTGTCATAAACACGCTTAAACATGTCATCAATATTATCAATTGTCATTAGTATTGGTATTTCTTGATTAGGACGGACATCGGACACATTGATATATTCAATTTGATTGTTCTTTAATTTTTCGATTAATATCGATTTGTTTAACAATTGTTTAACATCAATGCAAAAGTTCTCCAGTTCAGCATTACGTAAACATACATAACGTCGATCTGCAATGATATTCTCTAACGCTCTTGGTTTGACATGTTGTCGACGAACATCTGCAAGAGCTCGTCTAAGACATTCTTGAATATTAGCCTGTGAATTCAACATCAAACGATATTGTTGTTGAATATCTTTTAAACATTCATTAAGTGTTCCACTCGAAAAATTTATCGGAAGATTTCGAAGCATTTCTCCAAGGTCTTTTATCTGATTTTTTATATGATTGATTAGCATTTCTGTTCGTGTAATATGAGAATTAGTTGAACTAGGTAAGGAATATGGTCCTGAAAATTCAGAGCTACTATAAAGCCATCTTAACGGTTGCATCGTATAGATAAGTGGTTGATGAACTTCCCAATTTCTTTGCCAATCTTGTATTCTAGTGAGAATAGTTAATAATGATGTATTCGGCCGATCGACACACGTTTCGGATCCATATACAGTAATATTTGTTAATTGATTAATGAGATGTTGATCAATACTATTAACTTCAATTGGAATTTGGTTATTTTGAAGTTGATTACAAATACGATGAAGCAATTGATCGACTACGTTGACAGATTGATTTTTTGGAATTTGTATGATACATAAAGTTTCAAACCCCCATAAAATTTTCGTTATCATATGAGTCGCTGTACTTGGATTTAATGGTATTCCAACGATTCTATCCGCTGTTCGAGCTTTAACATTTACCCTTTCTTTTCTAGCTCTATAAGAATAATATAGAAAACGAGTATTCTCATTAACAGGTTGATTATATTCAATAAGACGGCTAGTGCCTCTTGGTTCAACCATTTGAAGACAAATACTTTGTCGAGTTGCATCGTCACAGTCGATATTTCGGAGAAAACTGATGAGTTCTCTCGATTGATCACCTGAAAACAACCGGCATATAGAACGTGTACGGGGTATTTTTCTTTCAATTCTTTGAGTAGAATGTCGATCAATTAAATTATCTGTTGAAGCGTCATAAAGTGAACCTAATCGACCTGATGTATCGATCACTTTCCGTTCGATTGGATATCCAGTTTGGCATTTGAAGAAGCTCATACATGATGTGTTGCGCGAACTCTCACCCATATCCTCACTCGTATTTAATAGTGAATAAATGTGTCAGTTTGACAATCTACAAAGAAAAAAAAAACATTAAAATATTTTATTTATAAGATTTGAGGTTCTCAAAGAAAACAGGAAAAAATATTATTGAAAATAAACTAGTTCGCCATTTACAGAAAAAAAAGCGTTCAACGTAGAATGGATCGTAAGCCATATGAATGTACAATATATTCAATAAAATTTAGGACCAATTCATAAAGAATACTCAGTAGCTTTCTTATTGTTTTAATAAATCACTTTCATAATCTCATCTTTATATTGACTTGTACCATTGATATCAATATAATAATATAGTTGAAAAAGAATAAACATTATTATGCTGACGATGGTAATAGCACTGTTAAAGCCTGACAAGATCACTATGACTAAGAACTATGATCTAAGCTACGTTTATTAAAGTGTTCTGATCTAAACTTCGATAAAATAGGAATTTCAACAAAATATTCAGTTATTCATTGTCTATGCATATTTCTAATCAAATATATTTTATTAAGAAGTACTTTTCTTTTTATATTGCATTGCTCGTTTACATAACACAATAAAAATATCAATAATAGTTCTTGAAGCAAAGCTTTCAAGGCAAAAGATAAAATATCGTTGAGATTTATAAAAAAAAAACAACCACACACTTATGACAGAAAATTTTTTTTTATTCTTAACTCCAAATACTACTTCTGAAGTTTGATATTTCAAGGATATACATATACTAAAGTTTGTTTATGTATAAATTTAACTTACAAGAATTCAAATGATTTACATAGTAGATGACTATACTTTTTTTCCAAGGTTAAATCTCGTTGAAGTAAAATTGTGAATAAAAAAAACCTTATGAAAATATTCGACACTCATGTCGATTGCAGTATTCATCTCACTAGTTAACAGCAAAAGCAAGTCATTATTGCCATACAAGCAAATAATATAGATACACTAACATACTTGCAATTAGCTCTTCAGTTAGAGTAGTCGTCAATTATTTGTTATTGCGCTTTTGTTTTATGACAATCTATTTTTTTCTTGGTTGAAAACAGGTGAAGAATTTTGATAATTTACAGTCTATGAAGTTGAGAGTGTGCATAAAAAGAACAGAAAAAAAACCGAAATACAATTTAATGGAAGCATCTCTTGGATGACGATAAAATGAACGTCGTTCTCTTCTGTCTCAGTTTTGTGTGTGTTTCATATCTTAAACAAATAAATATAAGAATTCTATAAAAACTTGTTTCTCCCAATCTACAACTTTCATTTTTTTGTGTAAAAAAAGGTAGAAATTTCAGATGTCGACTCAATTATTTCTCAAATGTTTAATTTTGAACATCACATGTTCAAACCATGCGCAAAACAAAATGCTGAGTAAATAATGAACAAATAACACATGATACAACATATTTTGGTTCAACTGAAAAAATTTTACTTTATACACAATTTTTTTTATGATGATAAATTGACATAAGTATAATAGCTCTATAAACACTTACCTTGCCTGAAAAGACCATAGAAATTATTTTTTATTAGAAAATGTGTAGACCTGAAAAGAAGAAAATTTAAGTCAAAAATTTAGTAAAAGAAAATTGATTAAAATTTAGATAAAAGATATTTTCTTTAAGTCGACTAGTTAACGATTTTTCTGAATGAAAAATTTCCTTTAGTTGTAACATTATAAAGTTATTTTGAAACTTTCCATTGTTTTCGAATCTTACTACCATTTATAGGCAATCGATAAAGACTCATAATAAATGTAAATATTTCTTCGATTTTAATATCATCTAAATTATTCATTGAAGATGTTGATATTTTCTAATTATTTAATCTTTTTTGAAATAGATCGATTTCTTGTTTATATTGTATTCTGTATTTTTCAAGAGCATCTATAACAAGAACATTTTCAACACCAATTTCTTGTTTCTTTTGTTCTTGAATAAAATGATTAATATAATCAATAAGATCGTCATTGATTGGAGTAATGGTATTTTTATGAAGAAAGTTTGTCAGCCCGCTACAAACACCGAAATCGAATCGAATCAGAATAGAGATTTTCTTATTCGTGTCACTCTCTGATTCACTATATACTTTTAGCATAGATCTTTCTTCTTCTTTTAAATCTGTAATATTTTTTTTCGATTGCTGGGAGTACAGTATCTTTGGTTGTAGCATTTCTTATTTTAACATAAGTTAAACGTATACGATATTCATATGTAATATGTAGAAGATTGTTGCAATGATAGCCGCAAACAGTGGATATACCTGCAAATATTAAATAATGCTTCACAACTCACTCTACCTTTCGATGTGTTTCAGTAAAATTTGAACAGCTGATCTATTTATGAAACTATGATTCAACTCTTGAAACCAATTTTTTTCTTACTGTATTACTAAAATCTGTTTGTTACTGGCCTAACAGAGGTGACTCAGTTTAGAATATTTTGTTACCAGTATGTTACAGATATCAAAGATGCCTGATTGATTAGCGTTTTTTTAACCCAACCGATTCTATATCTGACTGGTAGGATGCGGGTGCAGGTGTGGGTGTGGATGTCAGCGTAGACATGGGTATGCGCGGATGTGTGCATGCTAATGTGTGGCGGTGTGGGCGATGATGTAAGAGTATGGATGTGTGTGCGTTTGTGTAGCTGAGGGTCGCTATGGATGTGGGTGTTTGTATGGATGTTGGTGTGTTGGTGAGTAAAAAAGCACACCCACACCCTCATCTTTCCATGCGAACATAATCAGACAAAAGTTCTAAGCAGTAAATTTATCGACGAGCGACAATTGTCTTCTATAGTATTGAATATTGACTATAGCAGATCTATAAAGAGTATAAAGGAGTTTATCTTTACATATAATATCTTATTGGATTGACTGCCGAACTAACATGACAAATAGATTTTAGATGTTCTATATCGCGTAGTCTCCACGTTGCAAAAAAACCGTAATCACATTGTCGTTTGATTGACAAGTTTCGAAAATACCATAAAAAAGTGTTATATAACGGTAATGTTCTTTTATGTTTTGGGCTAAATTAAAGTACTATGCGCGTATTTTTTGGATATTTTTTTAAATGTATCTTGTGCAGTTTTTTCCGGTCTATCAAACCCATAAGAAACTACTGTCGACCCGAATGTTTTTTGAGATTTTTTTTCATAGAAATAGTGAAAAACAGCACACATTTTCAAAATTATTACACATTTTTTGTATCGTTGCTCGGACATTGATTCTCCATAGATATGTTTAAAAACTATTTACGGAAAATCTAAATATACAGATTTGTAGAGCAAAACTTGCTCTATCTTTTGAGATAGTATTCAATTTGATTTGATTGAGTTTTAGGAAAAAAACTAATCACATACTGGGAACAGGAAAAAACAAAAAAGCATGATGATTATTTTTAGAGCTTTGTGGAGACATTTTCAATGTTTTTTTTATATCTATTCAAAAGTCACTCAGAGAAGGCTAAAATTTTGAATTTATAGTTTTTTTTACATGCTCCTTTATTTGCGATAATCAAAAAGGTAGGTCAAACATTTTTTTATGACATGATTTCTCAACTGGATCATGGACTGTATCTTAAAAACTATTAGATCAATTAAGATGAAAGTTTTTTGGTGCATCCGGAGCACAGTTGAACAAAAATGACGCAATAATCAGCTCTCTTGCTTATTTACTTATCGAGAAAATCCAAAAAATAACGGTCAAAACTAGGGTGTGGGGTGTGGGTGTCGGTGGGTGTGGGTATGGGTGGGTGTGGGTGTGGGCGTTAGATGCAGGTGTACGTTTGGGTGTTCGCGTGGATGTCTTCATCATGCACAGACACTCACATCCACATGTACTCATCGTCACACATTCACACAATATATGAATTCTCTTCCTCAAGCTTGGGTTTTATCCACACGTAAACGGGACACACATTTTTCAGATAAACGACGTTGTTACCTCAAAAAAAAATTACATGAAGAAATTCCCAGTCTGAAACGTTGGAGATCGAAACAGTTTGTATTAGATATGAAGACCGTGAAAGAAAACCGCAAATTTCACTTTTCTGCTGTCGAAGTTTAAAATGAAAATGAAACTTGCTCATTTTTCTGTCAGCTTAAACACGAAAGACAGATGATTGCCACTCAAAATTTGTCATGTAGTAAAGTCATCATCGAAGGTAAAGCCGTCAAAATTACTAGTAATAATATTGAGAACGAGGAAATTCACTTTGAACTTGAAACATTATAACAAGATTTTCAAGATATTGAAATAGTTCTATAAGAGATCCGAATGCTAGAGGCTTTGGTGTGAATCCTAAAATGGCACTTGAATCATCTCTTTAGATGTATTCCCAGCTTAACCGCTCCTCTGATCTCAAGGAAAGCCAAATAAAATATAAAACAGAACCAGGTTTACCGGATTAGGGCTACGTTATTTGAAATAAACTAACGGGTATGGTCTTACCGAGTTATGCCCGCATGAACATACTAATGAGCACGAATTTTCTGAATAATGACCATTGATAAAGAATTATAGTGTTTGCATGAGTGTGGTTTTTTCGAGTACCCTCATAAACAATAAAGAGACATGTATTTTGTGAATAATGTCCCTCCTCTTCAGGCATGATGGGCTCTATGTCCCGAAGAGAAGAAATACGGATAGGGTTCCCCTTAAACATGACCAACAATCCTGCGTCTTGTATAAAGTAAGTGTACAACTATTCAAACAATAATTTAACTTCCGCTGAATCATAAATGAACGTTAATCGACTTGCAAAGCGTTTTCAGCTCTTTCGCATAACATGATGCTTCTATAAGATCAGCTAACGCTAACCCATTTTACCTGCTTAGATTACGATAAAGGATAATTCAGCAGTTTATATAGACTATATGCTTATTGAAATATATTGTACTTGTGTGAAAACTACTTTACATACATCATAGTCTTCTTAAACTTGTTTTTCAGAAAATCTGTTCATAATAATTTTTCCTCATAGACTCTATCCCAGTTGATCAACTTTGTAAGCCAATTTTGGAAATCATTCGAAATTTTCGAAACTTTTTTATAACCATCTTGTAGAGGGAAAAGTCGTACATCATGTACAATATTCATTATGAGATCTCTTAAAATGACTAAATAGCAGCTGATACACTGTAATATATTGTTAAAAGATCGACTCATTTTTCTACTAGAAAATAACGAGTTATAGGGGGTATTTCAATGATAACTTTCGATTGATTTGTGGAAGCCTAACATATTAGAAGATGATTTTGTTCAGCATCTGAAGACGTATCTTTTGGTATATTGCACGAAACGTTTTATTAAATTGAAATAATATTTTTTATTTTAACAGCAGCAACAGAAAATATAATACACAATATCAGAAAGAAAGAGGGTGTGGGGTGTGGGTGTGGGTGGGTATGGGTGTGGGTGTGGGTGTGGGATGGATGTAGATAAATATAATAATCACACCCACACCCTCACACCCCACCCACACCCACACCCCACCCCAAAAGCTAATTAGACATAATAAACAATTTGTTCCTATTATTAGTTGTTATGCTACGATGAGTATTATTTTTTTCTTGAATTAAAATAAAACTTTTTTTGATTTTTTTTCACTCAAATCCTATCTAAATGATGTTCGAAGCTCATTGAAAACTAATAGAGTTTTGATATCTTATAGTTTTCTACACCTTGTCCATTAAAAAAAATGATAATCGAAAGTCAAATGATGAAATATCATGATAGAAAACGTAATCGATGCTTTAATTATTATTCATAAAGTTTTTGCAAGTTTTTTTCAAAATTGTTATCACATATGTGATGTCCAAAAGGTAAGTTTAATATAAGAAAAACGGTTCGTTCATGGCTATCGGAAAAATAGTATTGTCACTTGTTATAACAAACACGCTATTGAGAAAAAAAGATGACCGAAAGAAAAGAAAACACAAATTGTATGTACATTGACCTATGAACGTGACGAATAGCAATAAAAATATTATCTTATTGCGATGACTATTGGCGGAAAGAACAATAATGCTTTGTACTATTGTTTATGAAGCAATTATACAAGAATGATGTGCACAATTCAACATCATGACATTAAAACACACTATGGCAACAACATTAGAGAATATCCCTGTGGAATTACTCTATCAAATATTTATTTATTTTCAATTTCATGAAGTATTCAATATTTTTGCTAATCTTAATTCACGATTTGCTGCTATCATAAATAACATTCCATTTATGCCCGTTTACTTGGGTCTCAGTGGAATGAATATAGTAGTGACCGAATTTTATTATAAATATTTATCACAACCAAACATTCATAATCATCTTATTTCATTACATGTCTCAGATACATTAGCTATTGATAATGGCATCTGGTTAGCTGAACATGTAACTACATTTACCAATCTCCGTCATTTATCTTTAATTGATATAAAACGTTCTTCTTTTGAATTGATTCTCAACTCATTGTCATCCATTAAATCCCTGATCATGTTTAGTGTACGTTATTCAACTGTTTGTCGTGCTGTTTATACGTTTTCAGGTGTGCCTGAAAGTGCGTATTATGAACGAATTTTTCATTTATTTCCTTCATTACGTGTATGTCATCTACTTTTTCGGCGATATATACGTTCTACTCTAGACAGTCAATTCGTTCTACCACTTGGCAGAACATTTATGCTGATTCAAACCAAACTTTTAAATTTACAATCACTTGCAATTTGTTCTTCACCTGGATTTCTATCGTATTTATTTGAATTTCTTCCACAATTGGAACAACTCAGCTATACACAGACTACTTCTTGGCTACCTCGAGAACATTCACTAAGAAATAATAATAAGTGAGATTCTTTCTTTAATTGAATGCATATTTTAATTTATAAACTCAATGTAAAGCGTATGGGTAGAAGAGAATACATTTAATCAATTTATCAAGAGACATTGTAGTTAAAATTTAATTATTTATCAAATAATAAGATACTTTTTTGAATAATTCCTATTCACTTTTAGGATGAAATATTAACTATAGCGAGGAGATATTAAATTGTTGATGAATTACAATTAAATTACGCATTCAATTTTTAATTGTTTATAATATTTATATAAGAAAGGCGATTGAAATTAATCAGCTATGAGTTATATGAAATTACAGATGAACGTATATAGAAAAGCCAATCATTAAAATTGCGTTCTTTCGATGAGATCAATACAAAAATAATTGTTTTTGTCATTCGTAATTAGTTATCGTTCTACTTGTGGAAGTGATAATGTTAAATCTATTTCGTCAGTATTTGAATTTACTAGCGTGACATTTTCAATTTATTCTTACATAAAAAAAACACTTCTCTTCATTTTTCTCATGTGTATTCGTTGATCATTATTTGAGATTTGACATTTAAATATATTAGATTCAATGAAATTAATGATGAAAGCTCAAAAGAGTACTCCCAGATTAAAATCGAGCAACTCTAGAGATAATGCTAAAAGACATTGTAAAATATATTCTAATGTCGAATAGACTCTTCGAAGAATATTTCTATGAAAATCACAGATGAAAGTTTTAGAAGAGAGTAAAGATTTGCATAGAAAGTAGAAGTTACTTTACAATAAAAGATAATGCATGAAGGAAAACTTATTGATCGGTAAAAAATTCAAGAATATGTACTGAGATTTGTCTCTATTATGAGACTTATTTTCGATAATTTTATCGGGAATATGATTTGTTGAATACTAATCAGAAGACAAATAGTTTAGTAGATGATCTCTATCAATTCTACATCATGAAGTGAAGAACAGTTTCAGTGACGTGCCCAGGAATTTTTTCCAGGGGAGGATTGACCTTTCCCAGGGGGATCGCTGTGGAGAGAAACCGGTTTCAGAGACGAGAAAATGATTCGACTCGTACTCCCCTTCAGGTATTCCGATCGATCCAGGGGGATTGGTCCCTACATTCCTCCCTCTGGGAACGTCACTGAACAGTTTGAACAAAAATATATCGAATACTGTATATAGCAACCTGCCATGTGATCCGATATAGATAAATGAAATAAAACTGCATGTTTCATTAAGAAGTTAAGTAATATAAGGGATGCATATTTTATTGTTAGAAAGTCATCTTGTCAATATATTTTAGTCGAATCACACCTATTAATAAAGATCTTGCTCCAAATCTACGCCGCCTAAAAATAAAATGTTTGAATTCATTCATTAGTCTGAAATCAATTAATAAATTATTTCAGCGTGATGTTTTATATTCATTGACGAGCTTCATATTATTGGCGAAGATAGATGGTTCTCATGTTCTTTGCAATTTACTATCGATGCTTTCCAATCAATGTTTATATTCGTTTGATATTAAATGGCTTGGAAGAACTGAAGTGCCACCACCAAATACAAACAAAATCTTATCCAATGTATTTCAAAAACTCAAAGGATCAGTACCAATTGAATTAGAACTATCGTTACAAGAATACACGATATATTCTATTAGAGCTGTAACAATACCAAGAATGGATAAAACTTTATGTGTCGATTCGTATCTAAATAAAAATACTGTGCATGGGTATAAGCAGACAGTTGGTTTTTTTTATAACAAACATGTTTTTTTGAATTTAGACAAAGTCGATGGCCATATAATAGATGTGTCTTCAACAGTCAATTGTTCCATTGCAATGAGATTATTATGGATAAGGATTATCGGATCAACGACGAATTTCTTTCTTTATCACCACCTATTGTTCCTTGGCATCAAGTTACATCGCTTAGTATTGCTCATCCATTCAATTCAACTCATTTGCGCCTTCTCTTTTCGCAAGCGATTAACCTACGTACTCTAGAACTACATTACAGAAGAGAAATTGAGTACACATGTGATTCGAAAAGGGAAAATTTAATTCATCTCTTTAACGATGCTTCTTTGTGTAATATGCTCATGTCAAATGGTTTACGACAACTTAATCTTTTTTTCGCTATACATCAATCAAATTTGGTAAAAATTGCCTATTTAATCACCGAACGACTACCTCATTTGCAAGTTATAAAACTAGATGGTCTTAGCGATCATTTGATTGAAATGTCACATATGTTTATCAATCGTCTCGAGAAATTAAATTTTCTCACTATTACTGGTGGTATTGAAGATGGTAAAATTTATGAAAATGCATTGCGTAAATTGCAAACTTCAAATAGTCGTTCTTTTCGAACGGAAGTTCCTAAAACGACAGATGAAGAGACACTTTTCATATGGCTATAATAATATGAAACTGCGAATATTTCTTTGCTTTGTTCTGGTTAACTTTTTTTGGGGAAAAGAAATGTAAAAATTTTTATATACAGATAAAATGAAACTTTGAATTTTGTTGTGTTTATTACATCAAATAAAAAGATCTTTTGTTTCGATATTAAGTTAGAAATAAAAATATAAGAAATTTACAATATTTTGACATATATAACCAAATATTCCTAAACTTGTTTCACCGATCTTATCAGATCTATCAATGTTAGTAATATTAGCAATAAGTTCTTCTATAATTTGACATATATAATAAATAGATTTTCAATGAAAATCTTACTGATTAAATCTCGTCATTGACCACACGCTAATTCAACACATATTATATATAATCAACACATTGGATAGTTTGCAATGATTTAGCTGTTTCGATATCAGAACTCCGCGGAACGTGGGACGATGTTTTTTTCGAAAAATGGTAGGACGAGATGGGACGGAATTGAGAAGTTGCGGATGCGGGATGAGACACAGTAATTGTTATTATAACTTTAGTAATTAGAGAGAAATCGTAGTGAAGATTTTTTTTTGTGTATATATGACTAAGAATAAAAGAAAATAATAATTAATGTTAAATTAAGTATTTTATGATAATCAATTTAATAAGATTTGAATCATTATCATCCTCTTAAAAAAAAGTATCAATATATATAGTTTATTTTTTTAGGACGTATTCATTCAAAACGAATAATAAGTAAAAAATTATATTTTTATGATCTTCATGGTGAAATGACTAAAATAAAAGTTGTGGCTAATGAAAGGTAATTAATATTAAATCATTTTATTTCATTTCAAAAGATAATAAATTATTATTAACAATTGAATTGATTTTTTTTCTTCTTACTTTATTATAGATATTATGACAATATTAAAGAATTTAATCATGTTAATGAACGTATTCATCGTGGAGATATTATTGGTGTTAAAGGACGACCAAGTATATTTTAATTTTTTTTTTTGTTTAAAAAATTTAATTTCTTACAAGACAACTCTTTCAACTGATAAATCATTTTTTAGTTTAGATTCAATATGTATAAAGTAGATCCTAATGAATATTGAAAAGTTCGAAAAGAATGAGTCTTCTTAGATCTTATTTCGAGAGTTTTAGTCATTTTATGCAAATTTTAGTCTATAACACCATATATATCAACATATCGAATGATGATATTTTGATCTGATATTTGTTTAACAGATAGATTTATTTTGCGACTAGAATCTTTTAAAAATTTTATCTTAAAAGAATATTTCCTGCACAAGATATTCAATTTTCAGGAAATCTCAGATTCGTAGCTTTTGCAGGATATTAATGTTTTTATTTTTCTCTTTTAGAAATTCAATATTTTATAAAGAAAACATTTTTTTTTTTGTTGAGATGAAAATTTCAGGACACTTCTATCATAAGCAGATCTATCTATGGATTAAATTTTAGATTGAAATAGTATCATTCAATTTGTTGGTATATACCAGACGTGTTCACAGGATGATTTTTTTCACACCCTGCTGAATTAACACATTATTCATTGTATAATAATAGTTTCATTGATAAAAGTTTATTTTTTCTTTGAATGTTAATTTAGCTTTTCATCGAAACCAACTTGATTTAATTTATACTGAATTAATTTTGAATCAAATATATCACCTTCAATATGATCTAAGGAAATTAAAGGACAACATCGATTTTATGTTAGACAATGTGTTTTGTTCCACTTGTAGATCCATGACGAAATATACAATAACATTTAAAGCAACTAATGAAACCATTTATATGTTCAAAATCGTTTTTTTTTAATTTTCAACAGCTACATATCGAAAAATACGTCACCAACTTTTGTCTAATAAGAGTTTTTTAAATTATTTAGTAGTATAACAATTTGAAGAAGATAATGTGAAGTCATTGACACGACAAGATGAAAATGTATTTGATGTAACAGTAAGATAATGAGCAAACATTAGGCAAATATCATCATTCAAAATCAAATCATATAGAACTCATTAATTAAGATTTCTATCTAATCAGGGTAAAAATACGAGAAAAAAAAATAAAATACAATTTTTCGATGATCATTTCATTTAATTTTTTAATTCTACCATGTCTTTTTCGTATGTATATCTACAGAGAAAAACTTTGAACACCAGTTGATATCACTCCATGCAATCTATTTTTCATTTTTTAACTCTTTTAAGACTCAAAAGAATGTTCTTTTCAAGGATGAAAATTATAAAATCTGACTTTCGATTTTGCAGAGTATAAAGATGTTAACCTGCCCTATGTGTACTTCTAGTACATACTGTGCCATATATCTCATTAGAGTTTACATTATACAAATAGAATCTGAATTGAGAAATGATTTATCAGTTGAAATGAGTATCACATGAGAATCACAAAGCAAAATATCATCTATATATTATATTGAATTTATTTAATTTAGGTCGTCCATTAAAAGGTGAATTAAGTATAATTCCTAGTGAAATAATAATTTTAACAGCATCATTACATCAATTACCTCATTCACATTATCGTTTTAAAGATAAAGTTAAATAATAAAAATTGATTTATTTATTAAAAAGATTTTTATTTATTTATTTTTTTAGGAAACACGTTATCGTGAACTTTATCTTGATTTAATGATAAATCATGATGTTCGAGAAAGATTTATTATAAAAGCTAAAATAATTTCTTATCTTAGAAATTTTTTTCATCAATTAGGTTTTCTTGAAGTATGAATAATAATAATCATATTTTTAAAAAAGAAAAATTTTTATCTATTTCTTTTTCTAATAGGTTGAAACACCAATGATGAGTATGGTTGCAGGTGGAGCAACAGCTAAACCATTTATTACATATCATAATGATTTAAATATGAATTTTCTATATGCGTGTTGCACCTGAACTTTTTTTCAAGGTAAAATGGAAAAGAAAACAATAACGAAAAGAATTCTTCATTAATTCATTTTGTTTTTTTATAAAATTATCTTCCTATGAATTTCAATGCAAATCTTTTTCTTCAAAGATCTTTTACTTCTTTTTCTCTTTAAATGACCAACAGAGTTTTTTTTTAAACATAATTTATTAAATAATTAAACCAATTCAACAAAATAATATTGAAAAAAAAAAAGTATTTTTCTCAAGATAAATATCAAGTCTTTACTTCAAAATTAATTATTTTCATTTTCATTTTAAATATTTCATATTCGTGATTGGAGACCAATCACAACAACTATAATAGGATAACATTATGTATTTTTAACAAATCTATAAAATCAAGCAATAAAGAAAAAACACTATTTTGATTTGATCTAGAATCTCTACTACAAGAGATAGGAAAGAAGAGTTTTTAATACGAGCAATTCCTTTCATATAATACAAGATAAGATAAAATGAGTATTGACTTTTTTTTAATGTTGAAAAGTAAAACATGTTTTTTTTCTCAGCATAACTAAATTAATTTTCATTAAATTCGAGTTATAGTAGATGATAAAGTATGTTATCACTATTTAAGATTGTCATCAAATATATTTAGTTTTAGAAAAATTTCAAGTTCATAATAAAGAGAAATTAATGAATTTTCAAAAGGACAATATCAAGTTTTTTATCAATCAAACTAATGAAAAAATCAAATTTATTAAGATAATGATTTATTTCATTAATTATAAGCATAGGTCTTGATGTGGAAGGCAATCGAGTGGACCAATTCTTTCCACTTTTCACGTCATATCTATGAAAATTTCGAGTAATTATCTAAAAAACTGCATGTCACATTTTAGCATACAGCTTTTTGCTTGTTATTTTCTGCCAAAGAGTCTTTGTCTGATTGTCTACCCAATTTGAACCTCTCCTGTACTCATTAGAAAAACATCAAGAGCTATGACTATAGTACATTAATCGTTTGAGAATGAAATTTTCTTTTCAATTGAAAATTGATTTTTCAATCAATTGATTGTCTTCAACTCAAATGATTACATTAACAAAAAATTGATGATAATACATGAAGAGAAAAGAGGAAGATATCATGATTTTAGTGTATATTAGCAGAAATAAATAAAAATATCTCAGTACGATGTTTACGAAAAGAAGAAAGAGAGAAAAGATATGCATGAGATAGGAGATGAGACAATCTATTATGTTACATGCCTTATAACAATTTCATGGAGGGTGTGGGTGCAGGTGTGTGGGTGTGGGTGGGTGTGGGTGTGGGTGTGGGTGGGGTGTGGGTGTGGATGTGTGGGTGTGGGTGTTGGTGTGGGTGGGTATGTGGGTGCAGATGTGGGCTTGAGGAGTGGGTAAAAGACAGAATAGAATACTCTCACCTACACACACCCACACCCATACTCACCCACACCCACACACACCCACACACACCCACACCCATACCCACCCACACTCACCCACACCACCCTGAATCTTCATTGTCGATTTCTTTTTTCTTTCTGTAAGAAGGCATTGGCGGCTGGTAATACTTCGTTCATTCTTACATGCCCTCCCTACTTGTTTTTTATTCCAATCATTATCTCGGTTGCTAGTTATAGGAATTCAGCTGAAGAGGTGGGAAGAAATCACAAAAGAAGAGAGCAACGACACAGAACAACTTTCATTCGTAATTTTGTTGCTGGTTTTGAAAGTAGGTATTAATGGCAGCAACTTCTTACTTTTTTCCTTCATTAGTTTATTCGCTCGCTGTTTCATGTTTTTGCACATCGTTGCTGTCTGTTATGATTGCTTGCCTTTCGTTGAAGACGTAAATATAAATCATAAAAAGAACGAAACAGTAACCGGACCAAACCTTCTTGGTATCGGATTGCTTTTGCTAGAATGAAACTTTCGTGATAGGTAGTTGATATGCGTACTATTCCTACGACTCAAAGGTTCGAACATTATATTTGTATTCAGCAGATATTCACAAAATAGCCAACCGAATGTACTGAGAAATGTCGAAAAGAAAAATGTCGAAAGGAAAAATGTCGAAAGCAAAATGTCGAAAGTAAAAATGTCGAAAAGTAAAAATGTCGAAAGGAAAAATGTCGAAAAGTTAAA